TTAGAAAATTTGAAAAACATAAAATGCCAGAAAGGAAATCATACAGAAACTGTTAAATTCTGATATTCTTCCTTTCAGCTATTTTCTCTTAATACATTTCTTTTTAACTTAGTTAGCATGATGGATATATGCAAATTGCTCTGATTTTTGTAAAAATAATGTCCACCTTTAATGATTATAAAATATGCTCATTAAAAAATACTGAAAAGCCATGATCAGTTTGGCTCAGTGGATAGAGCATCGGCCTGCGGACTGAAGGGTCCCGGGTTCGATTCCAGTCAAGGGCATGTACCGTGGTTGCGGGCACATCCCCAGTGGGGGGTGTGCAGGAAGCAGCTGGTCGATGTTTCTCTCTCATCCATGTTTCTAACTCTGTATCCCTCTCCCTTCCTCTCTGTAAAAAATCAATAAAATATTTTTAAAAAATACTGAAAAGTAGGAAAAACTTTAGATTTCCTACACTCCCAACAAATAGAAATAATCAGTATGGATATTAATAGATTTCTTCATATTTTTTCTATATATTTTTACATGGTCAAGAGCATACTGCCGAGGTCGTACTGCATGTATTTTAAAGTCCAGTGACGCCAGGAGGTCCTGCTGCTATGAAGAGCGACCTGGTGACAGGTGACCTCTTCCCCTGGGCAATTCATTAGGTTCCTCCTACTTATAAGACTACTCAGAATCATTTAAGTTTAAAGATCCCCAATATCATTATAAAAATTGCTCAGCCATAAAAGTATCCATTCTGTTGTTCCATGCAATTCAGCTTTTATAACGGGGGAAAAAGACGTTTTGTTAAGTACTTCTTCTGGCACAGTGTCCCACTCCAGTGAAAACCTGGCCATTGTTAGCAAGTCAAGAGATTCCATCTGAATTGTTGGGTGGAGATTATGGCTCAGGGAACATTATAGGGGAAAGGAAGAGAGGAGTGGGTGGCTAGTTAACTGAAGCAACTCAACGTCAAGCTCTCTCCCAAGACTGCAGGATCCATCTGGAAATACATGATTCAACCAGATTCCTGAAGTCAGCGTGCAATGTGAATAAGGGAGATCTTTTCTCCTTTGAACTACATGTTTTCCATCCTTGCTGGTTTGGCTAAATTCTGTCTTCAAATAATTTTTCCCAAAATACATATAAGAGAAATATTGCTTATGAATAATTGAACGTCCATTCATTCATTCATTCATTCTCTCAAAATATTTGTTGATGTCACCATATGAAAGCACTCTGTTAGGCATTGTGGTTATTTAGCACCTGCATTCTGGTGGAAAAGATAGGCCAGCAACCTGTAATACAAATGCTGGGATAGAAAGAAAAGGTCCTAAAAAAAGGCGGGTGTGTGGGGTGGGGGGGCATACTAAACCTGAGAAGCTTCGGGGAGGCCTGCATGGCAGGTCATACAGACTCAGAGACTGAAAAGCAACCACATAGGATGGTCTGAACATAAACATTTCTAACTAAAAACAGGTCACGTCAGTCGTTGCGTCCCCTAGGCCTGCAGCTTCCTAGGCAAAGGTCAATCTCTACCACACGTGAACTTTTTTATTGTCCTTTTGCATCTAAGATAACATACCTGTCAGAGTAATCTTTTTTCCTAGACCCCTCAGGGCACAACCACTGCCCAGAGCACAGACCTCCTCATTGTTGTGTGTTTCCCGCATACCATCTCTCTGGGCTGTCCATTTTTATTACTAATCATCCTGTAGCCACCAATGTAAAGTAGAATGTGTTGCTCCATTTTGCTTTTTATCCAATCCCAGAGATTTCCCCCAGTTTACTTTCTTCCCCCCCCCCTAAATCTACCACCTATGGATTTTATGTAACCCTCCTTACGTTTCCTCCTTTGAGTCTCATATAATAATTAGCTGCTAAACCACCATTCTCCAGAGCAACTGCACAATCCATTGAGGTTTTGCTTCCCAGCAATTGTTGTTTGGCTCAAATAAACTACTAAAAATTTTCTACAAAGGAAGAAAGGAAGGGAGAAAGAAAGAAATAAAGGGAGAAAGAAAGAAAGAAAGAAAGAAAGAAAGAAAGAAAGATTTTTACTGTAACCATCCAAACAATAAAAATATTCCCTAGAGAAATCTTTTTCCTATTTGTTTCCTATATAAATTTGATTGTAACATTGCATTATTATAATTTCCATAACAATGCCTCACTACCCGAGTTCCCAAAAATATTCACAGAATTAATTTCCCTAACTACGCAGCTCTACCATGTAGAAGAATCTTGGTCCAAAAGCACACGGACTATTGGGCTCCTGAGTGAAAGAATTTATGACATGTCCATTTAATCCACTGTGACTCAACTGAACATCGTGTGGGATTGTGTTCTGTTTAGGCAGCTCATTGAAACTTTTTTCAACTTTTGGGCAACTAGCTTAACTTTTGTCCCTATTCAGGCGTCGCTATATACGAAGTTCTCATTTCAATGTTGGTTGTTCCTAAGCTGTCAGAAAAATAGACATTTTGTGGCCTAAAAATAAACATAAGAAGTTCCTGTCCTCAGAAATGGCAGAACAGATTTCACACAACTGTTCCACCGCACTGACTGCATGACACTGGGTTTGCAAAGTGTCAACACCCAGAATAATACCATGGAAACTTTGGGCACGAAAACAAGGGCTAGAATGGAAAGCACTTCCTTTCCTTCCTGTGTGAAGAGAGATAACGTTAGCTCTGTTAGCTGGCAAGGACAGGAGCAAAAGTACACAGTGTTACTGGGTCCCATATAGGACCAAACACCCCCCACCCACCCCAGGAATGCAGAGACAATTAGTTTACAAAGTTTTCCTTGGCCATTCCCCAAGCTTGTAAAAAAAGGGCTTCTGTCCACCAGTAGGCAGGCTCTCTCTCTCTTACTGTTCATTCAAATCATCAGGCCACTCAGTGCTTCCTGAAGAGTAGACCAGGAATTACTCGCTCTTAAGGATAGGCATTGATAGAACAAAAGGTTTCAGGGTAAAAAAATATCAAGAAACACTCATTTAGCTCTGGCCGGTGTGGCTCAGTTGGTTGGGCATTTCCTATACACCGAAAGGTTGCCAGTTAGATCCCGGCCAGGGTATATGTTGCCCGGGTTTTGGGCTTGAACCCCCAGTAATCATTGATTGGCTGCCTCCTGCCAATCTTGCCTCCTGGGGATCGAGCTTGCAAGCTGGGCATGTGCCCTTGAACCTGGGACCCTTCAGTCCGCAGGCCAATGCTCTATCCACTGAGCCAAACCAGCTAGGGAAAGTCTGCATTCTTTTTTGTTTTGTTTTGTTTTGTTTTGTTTTGTTTTGTTTTGTTTTGTTTTGTTACTCCTCACCTGAGGATATTTTTCCATTGAATTTTAGAGAGACTGGAAGGGAGGGGGAGAGACACAGAGAGAGAAACATCAATGTGAGAGAGACACATTGATTGGTTGGTTGGTTGCCTCGTGCATGCAACCCAACCAGGGCAGGGGATTGAACCTGCAACTGAGGTACGTGCCCTTGACCAGGAATCGAATCTGGGACCCTTCAGTCCACAGGCTGATGATCTATCCACTGAGCCAAACCGTCTGGGGCGAGAGTCTGCATCCTGGATCCTTGCAGACACCCTGGTTTCTGTCCTTTCTGGTCACTGTTTTTCCTTGGATTCTGTGATTCCCCCCATGTTTTCAAAATTTTATTTTTTTAACTTACCAGAGTTGGTTTCTGTTGCTTGCGAACAAAGAACTGGAACAGGTTCAAGTGTTATATAAACAAAGACTATTATTATTGCCCATTGGTGTGAACCACTTCACGTTTCCTATTTGTCTTCTACACAACAGAAAAGCTGTGTGCTAAGACCTTCTCCCAGAGTCAAAGGTGGTGTCTAGGGTGCAAAATTCCAGGAGGTCCTCACTCTCAGCTGCATGCATGTGCAGCCTGGGCGCCTAGGGGAAGATTTTCCTTAAGGCCTGAGGGGAGCAGCCACTTCTGCATTAAGTGAACCAACCCTATAACATATGCATCATAGACCAATAACAGAAAAGTCTGGTATCTTCCAGGAGGTGACCTCATCTACAGTTTGTTCAGATATTGTTCCTTGGAGAGGAGGAGCAGACACTATTCCCAATAGATTTCTGCGTGCAAGTCTTAGGAATTCCTTTTTAAAGTTTAATAATATCCATTGAGAATATCTCCAAGGGGTTATACACACACACACACACACACACACACACACACACACGTTAAGTTTATAGCTCCTCCTAAAAATATATACAGTATTTATACATATATATTTAAATTACTTATATATATACTGTGAAAATAAATCATTTACATATATAAATATATTTATTTATATTTTATGTATGTAAATATATTTATTTAAGTGAAGAAATGTTATAAAAAATATATGTGTATATTCAGGAAGAGCCATAAACTTTTTAACATCCACAAAGGCATTTTAACAACTGTTTTTCCTGGAGTTCTGATAGAAACCAATCTGTAAGAAGAGCGCCCTCTGCTGCCACTTGTACAAAATAGATTTTCTGTCTGGCAATACTGAGAAACACACATTAGAAGGCTCTTAGGCTGTCTAGTTGCTGTCTATAATAAAAAATAAAATCATATTTAAAAAATAAAATTATATTTGAATGAATAGCACTTTCACCTCTCAATATCCTCTTGATTTTTTGGTTTTGTAGAAAGCCATGTTGCCACATCTTTCAATTTGATTTTATTCTTTCAGTGGTAACTGTAATCCAAACTCTTAACTAAATGAAGTAACCTCTCTCTAGATGCCCAAATCCATAGGCAAGAGGTCAGAGGTCAGGGCTAGCTCATCATAGTGGGCAGGAGGAAATGTCTTTATTCACTTCAGAGCCCCCAGGAAAAGGAAACGTGCGTTGACAACCAGCTCTGCTGGGCGTTCCCAGGGACCGTAGCAGGAAGGGGGTTGGAGAGGGCAAAGCAGTCAATCTTCTAACAATTCCATGACGCAGTGATTCAGGAAAATAAAGGACACATTTGCTTGGCATCTGTACTAAGCTTTATATTGGAACAGATTGGTCCCAGATCTTGACTGTCCCACCCACACCTGACCCATCTGGACAAACTAATATGGACATGAGGGACATCAAAACTGCCCCAGGTGTTAGCCTGGAAACTTCCATCCTGTCCAGCATTCCCACCTGCTTTTGTCTCTGTAGTTTGCAGATTCTCTGGCTCTGTTTTGTGGCTTCCAGAATCAGCTCTGAACGCTCACCTTTCTTGGCTCACTCTTCAACGCAGGACTTGGTAGGCACGTCTTGATTTAGAAATGTTTGCATCTTCAGGAAGGAGACACCCTCTCAGCCAGCTTCATCCTCTTAGCTAAGAAAAGGGATTGGTTGTCACCACATCTCCAAGGATAGTATCTTCTCTAAGCCCCAATTTCTTTATCATCTGTAAAACGGGAACAATACAGACGTCACTTCATCACATTTCTGTGAAAATTGTAGCTGATAAAGCACTTAGAATACATGTTGTTATAAAAGGTAATAAAATAACTATAAGGTGTTACAGACATTTTCTAAGTAGAGAAAAATATTAATAGACTAGAGGCCTGGTGCACGACGTTCGTGCACTGGGGGCAGGGGAGGGTCCCTCAGCCCAGCCTGTGTGTGCCCTTTCAAAGTCCGGGAGCCCTTGGGGGATGTCCGATTGACAGCTTAGGCCCGCTCCTTGTAGGGAGTGGGCCTAAGCTGTCAGTCCAACATCCTTAGTGCTGCCCTGGAGGTGGGCCACTGTGCTCGCCAGCCATCAGCCCAGCTTGTGGCTGACCACCAGGGGGCAGCTCCTGTGTTGAGCGTCTGCCCCCTGGTGGTCAGTGCGCATCATAGCGACCAGTCATTTCACTGTTCACTCAATTTGCATATTACCCTTTTATTATATAGGATGAGCATCTGATGATTATGACCCAGCCAGAGGGAGGAAGGTTAGACATCAAAGGAAAGCATTTTGTCCATAATAAACTATTTTTAAAAACACATAAAAATCAATCTGGAGATAAATATACTGAATGTTAACAATGGTTATCTTTGAGTGAGGAACCTACAGGTGACTTTTTCTCCCTTGCACACGTGCACTTGTTCCTCTGGGTTAGGGAAATGCAGGTGGGATAGCCGAGTCAGGGGCTGCGTAATTTAAAATGTTTAATCGATTCTCTCTAACATTAATGCTCTCTACCGTGGCTGCTTCACTTCCCACTCCCTCCCATGGCAGTGTTTCAGGGTGCTCGTTTACCCCACTTTCCCCAGGCGAGGTATTTCTCTACTTCTCAGTGCAATGCTCCAACTGCTGTGAATTTGTACTAGTACCTGTGAATCAATGGGTCAATGGATCCCTTCCCCTGAATACAGTCAACTGGTACTCAAGTCATTCTTCCTCATTTTAATGCACCTTCCAGTACAGCAGGGACTGGAAAGCTTTTAAAACAAATTAAATATTTACACTTTCCTACAGGTAAGGTTCTGGGTGCAAAATCGGTCCTGCCAATAAGATGCCCTCATTGGAAATGTGAAGGTAGAAATGCAGTGGAAGCATCTTCCTGTAGCTCTGGGGGCTGTTTCTGATCCACACATGGTTATGGAACGTAGTGTTTTCTTCCTCCCAGAAGTGGTCCAGTGTCCATTCTCCGGTGTGTGGATGGTGAGACTGTTGGGGACTTCTGGATACCAACTACTTAATCCCGTATCTTACCTGCATTGGCCTCTCTCTCTCTCTCTCTCTCTCAAAACACCATTAAAATTATGCACAGAATTCCATTTTCTTGGACTCAATAGTTCTATAGCTCCAGTGGCAGCCTCTTAACCATCTACCTTCCTGTTTGGTAGGTAGATAGTGAAAGCTTCCTTAGTGGTCCTGCAGTGTTCTGAGTCCGTTCTTAGAGACTTAGCCTGCAGCCCAGTCCTCCACTCCTCCCCCCAGTTTCCTAAGCACCTAACTCCCTATAGTAAATCCCTTCTGCATCAAATCCTGGCCTGTGGTCTCTGCTTGCTGCAGTTGAATCCTGACTGATACATACGTGCTACCTGGCATCCCATCACTTCTCAGTTACAGGCAACGGCCCCACTTAGCAGTAATCCAGGGCCTTCCTCTCCTTGTTGGTAGACCAGGCAGTGCACTCTTGCTATTCAGCACAATGGATTCCACATAAAAGTACTTAGCAGAGCCCAGGCTTCAGTTCTGTATCCCCTGCTCTGGTCTTGGCTCTGCCCCTTACCAGCCAACTGACTCCCATTAAATTCCTTGCCTGTTCCAGGACTGAGTTTCCTGGACTTTAAAATGAAGACGTTCCGGGTAGCTTTTAAAGGCCATTTTAGCTTCAAGACGCAAAGGTCCTAGGAAGCCATTAGGAACCTAAGCATGAAAGGGTTAACTGCTGAATGCTTCATTAAAAGCCTCGCAAATGAGGCTTCCCTTCCTCCTTGCCTTGCTTGTCAGCTTTAGGTGCTAGGGTTTCTCTGCTCTCTTTGCTTTCTTTTGTTTCGCCCTCCATTAATAGTAAATTGACATAAAATTGCAGCTCCAGAGCATGAGCGGTGTTGCTATGGAAACAGCCTTGATTCATAGACGTAAACATTAAGCTGTTCATGCTATTCTCTGAGGCGCTGTCACAAAAGAGAAACACAAAGTAAATGTGAGAACGTAAATGTGAGAATGACGTCTTGTTTTCAGGGACCGGGACCACACTCTGAAGGCTGATCTGAAGGTGGATGTCGCCCCTGATAGCAGAGATGTGGATATAACCTGGCTCTAGTGACACTCCCCGACTCTGTGTCTGACATGATGTACAAGACTGAGATGTGGGTGTTCATTCTGTCTCTTGATGCCCATGCTACAAAGGACTCCCCCAACTTCCAATCTGATTAACATAAAATAAACATACCTCCCCTTCAGGCTTACTGGTTGTGGCTCAACACTGTCCCCTTTTGGGGGTGGGGGGTGGGAGGGTGGAAGCTACTGAAATTTAATTTCTTCCCTCAAATCATTTCATTTACTTTCAGAATGCAGATTTCCTATTTTTGGCTCTCCCTCCCTCCCTCCTTCTTTCCTTCCATTTTATTAAGGTATAATGTAAATACAGTAAAATTCACTCTAAGTGTATGTTTGATGAATTTTGATGAATATATATAGTCATTTAAATTCCACCAAAATGAAATACAACATTCCCATCATCCTAAAAGTTCCCTCTGTCCCTTTTCAGTGGATTCCCTCCACCCTGGTCCCCAGCCCCAGACAACCATTCATCTGCTTTCTGACACGCTAGCTTTACCTTCAGTAGAATTTCACATAAATGGAATCATACAGTATGTAGTCTCCTGTGTTTGACTCCTTTCACCTAAAATAATGCTTCTGATATTCACCCATGTGATGGTATATATTTCTTTTTAAATTATAACTAGAGGCCCGATGCATGAAATTTGTGCAAGAGTAGGCCTTCCTTCCCCTGGCTGCAGGCACTGGCTTCCCTCTGGCACCTGGGACCCGGGCTTCCCCCTGGCCACCAGCAGGCACTCAGGACCCAGGCTTGGTTTGGAAGGTCGTCCGAAAGGACTTCCAGTCTAATTAGCATATTATGCTTTTATTATTATAGATATTTCTTATGTTCTTTCATTTCTTTCTTCTTGCTGTATAATCTTCCATTGTGTGGCTAGATCACAGTTTGTTTATTCACTTCTGGCAGATAGAAATTTGGGTTGTTTCCTGTTTGTGGCTATTATAAATAACTAGAGGCCCGGTGCACAAAAATTTGTGCACTCGGGGGGGAAGGGGGGGTCCCTCAGCCTGTCCTGTGCCCTCTCGAAGTCTGGGACCCCTCAGGAGATAACGCCCTACTGGCTTAGGCCTGCTCCCGGGTGGCAGAGGGCAGGCCCAATCCCTAGGTACAGCCCCTGGTTGGGCTCAGAGCAGGGCCGATTGGGGAGTTTGGGTGCCTTCCCCTGTCATGCACAGAGCAGGGCGGATTGGGAGGTTGTGACGCCACCATCAGTCATGCTCAGGGTAGGGCCGATTGGGGGGTTGGGGCACCGCCCCCTGTCACACTCAAGGCAGGGTCAATGGGGAGGTTGCGGCGCCACCCCCTGTCACGCACAGAGCAGGGCCAATCAGGGGGTTGGGGCGCTGCCCCCTGTCACGCACAGAGCAGGGCCCATCAGGGGGGTTGGGGCTCCTTACCCTGTCATGCACAGAGCAGGGCCCATCAGGGGGTTGGGGAGCTCACCCCTGTCACCCACAGAGCAGGGCTGATCAGGGGGTTGGGGCGCTGCCTCTCTCACACTCAGGGTAGGGCCGATGGGGAGGTTATGGCTCTACCCTGCCACACACAGAGCAGGGCCCATTGGGGGGGGGGGGGTTGGGGCGCCGCACCCTGTCACACACAGAGCCGCAGGGCGATCAGGAGGTTGGGGAGCTCCCCCGTATCAGACACAGAGCAGGGCTGATCAGGAGGTTGGGGTGCCTTCCCCTGTCACGAACAGAGCAGGGCGGATAGGGAGGTTGTGGCCCCGCCCCCTGTCACACACAGAGCCGCAGGGTGATCAGGGGGTTTGGGCGCTGCCCCCTGTCACGCTGATCCCGGTGCTGGGAGGCCTCTCAGCTCCGCTGATCCCGGTGCTGGTAGGCCTCGCGGCTCCGCTGATCCTGGTGCTGGAGGCATATTACCCTTTTACTATATAGGATAGAGGCCTGGTGCATGGGTGGGGCTGGCTGGTTTGCCCTGAATGGTGTCCTGGATCAGGGTGGGGGTCCCCACTGGGGTGCCTGGCCAGCCTGGATGAGGGGATGATGGCTGTTTGCAGCTGGTCACACACCCTTCAGGGTAGGGGTCCCCACTGGGGTGCCTGGCCAGCCTGGATGAGGGGATAATGGCTGTTTGCAGCTGGTCACACACCCTTCAGGGTTGGGGTCCCCACTGGGGTGCCTGGCCAGTCTGGGTGAGGGGCTGAGGGCTGAAGCTCCCAACTGCTCCTTTTTTTCTTCTTTTTTTTCTTTTTTATTCTGGTCCAGCTCTAGCTCTGGCTCCAGCTCTAAGGCCTCTGCTGCTGAAATCAGGTATCTGGTTTGTTTGTGTTCTATAATCGAAACAATGTATAACTCCAGCTCTGAGATCCCCGGCTCGCTGAAAGCAGGTTTCTGAGGTTTTGTTTAGCTTCTATATGTTACAATGTTTCTTAAACTGCAGGCTCAGAGGCCTGCAAGGCAGGCGGGGAACATTGCAGTCCTCCGTCACTGAAGCAAGCAAGCCTCATGTTAGTTTCAAGCTGCCTGGCTGCCGGCCGCCATCTTGGCTGGCAGTTAATTTGCATATCTCCCTGGTTAGCCAATGGGAAGGGTAGCGGTCGTATGCTAATTACCATGTTTCTCTTTTATTAGATAGGATGCTGCTACATACCAGTCTTTGTGTGAACCTACGGGTTATTTTTCTTGAGCGGCTACCTCAGAGAAGGATGGCTGGGGTGTATGGTAAGTGCACAAAGTTTCTTAACTTTATAAGAAGCTGCAATAGTATTTTCTAAAGTGGCTCAACCATTTGCATTCCCTCTAGCGATTTGCCAGAGTCTCACTTCCTTGCCAACAGTGGGTATTGTCTCAATTTCTGTGCTTATCTCCTCTTGGACAAGCACCCCTTTGTGGACCACACTCTGAGCAGGGCTACTCCAAGCCTTTCCTAGGAATATGTCCAGAATCCCATATGTAATCTAGAAAACAGCTAGGCTTTCTGGTGTCACCAACCAGAACAACGGGCTCTAATGCAAAATCCCCGGATCAAGAAAATGAAAATGACACACGTCTAGTTGTACAGCTTTACTCTGAACACCAACACTGCAGTAACTTTTTGTGTTAGGAACACTTTAAGTTTTCTATCTCTCCTAAATAATGGGAAATAAACATCAAATCTCCTTTTAAAAAATGAAACCTAATCCAGCGCTAACATGCCTCTTGGCTGTGAGAGCATGTCCGTTGGCATCATTGCATTCTCTTCAGCACGGCCTGCCTTGAGCTTGCACGGGGCAGATGTGATGGGTGGACAGCCAGCCAGCAGTCCTGATACACACGCTAGATGGGGGTGGGTGGAGTCACAGAGATGCCCCCTGAGTTTGAGTAGGAAAAAAAATCAAGTCGAACCCTAGTCAGCAGGCATGGAGGATAGAACACTTTGCCAGAGGGAGTAGCTGAAGCAACTTTTCCCCAGGCCAGGGAGGTTTCTTACCATTTGGTGTGGAGAGAAGGAAACACCGTTGATCTGACATGTCAGGAGAGCCTGTTGGCTGTTTAATTTTCTGCCCCTTTAGAAGGCAAATCTGAGTCACCGCACAGTCAAGGGAAGCGGGTCACACAGTCCAGTGTGTGGCTTTCAGTCCGGCCTCCACAGCCCTGGGGCAGGTTGCTCAGTCCCTGTTTGTGACGGAAGAGTGTTTAGAGTGGAATACGCAGAAACGCATTGAAACAGGCTCACCCCTAATTACTTAGCGTGGGTTGGAGCCGAGAGGCGTTGTTTTGCTAAGTAGCGCAGAAATTCCATTAAAAGATTAAATCACTGGGGAGAGTGCTCTCTTCTCAACGTGAGAGTAGCCAGAAAGGAGGGGCCGTCCTACTGAGCGGACACGGTGGCGGCTGCTGAGGGATTGTTTTTGGCAACATGTTCCGGAATGGGGTACAGTCACTGAAGGCACGCAAAGAATTAAGCCTGAGCTAAAGCACAGCACTCATTCTTTTTTTTTCTTTTCATACACAAACAAAAAAATAAATAAACGTTGAGGAAAGTTTATGGTGAAGAGATTTTTTTTGGGGGGGGGGAGTAAGAAGGGATTATGGGAAACAAAGCATATTCTTATTTTGACTTGGAAAGCCTTCTTTTTGTCCCTTTGCTATAATCAGCCGTAGGTTACAGTGGCGGAAAGATTGAATGCATATCGTTTTACATTACTAAACGTGTGGTACTTTCTTCCTGAAGCAACCAGAAATGAATGCACGGGTATGAGTGCAACGCTTATAGTGAGTGTAAGTGTAACTTTATGAGAGACTGTCCCAGTGTTTTCCAAAGTGGCTGAATCATCTTGCGTACCTACCAGTAGCAGGTGAGAGTTCCTATTGTTCCGCATCCTCATTAGCACTTAGTATGGCAGTTTTGGTGTTTTTTTTTAAAATTAGTCATATTGGAATGTGGTGTTAATTTCCATTTTTCTAATGATTAATGATGGATAATTATTTGCCATCTGTGTATCTGTTTCGGGTGACACGTCTATTTCAATATTTTGCCCACTTAAAAAATTGGTTGGTTTGTTTTCCTATATTATTTTCCTATAATTGAGAATTATTTGTGTATATTATAGACACAAGTCATTTGTCAGTTGTGTTTTGAAAATATTTTCTCCCAATCTGTGGCTTTTCCTTCATCTTCTTAACATGGCCTTTTGAGGAGAAAATTTTAATGTTGATGAAGTCCAATTTACTATTCTTTTCTTTTATGGGTCATCCTTTTTTTTTGTATTTAATAAATCTTTGCCTCATTCAAAATCAGTGACTTTTACCCATGTTTTTCTTCTAGAAGGTTACAGTTTTAGGTTTTCCCATGGTTTTTGTTTGTTTGTTTGTTTGTTTGTTTTAAATTAAAGATCTCAAAGACACAGGCCTAGAGAAATATGAAGCTATAAATTCCCATAGAAGAGGAAATTAAAAATACCTACATTATATTTTATTTGATGCTACACAGAGATAAGATTGACCACCTCCCATTGTCTGCACAGCCCTAAGCTAAATACACAGGCATTTACAACATCCACCATAAGTGTGGACACTCACTATTTAAGTCTGCCTTTCTCACAAGGCCCCTTGACTTCCCTTAGGCCAATGACTACGTTTGATTCATCTTTGTATCCTGAGCTTTGAGCCCCATACCCTGCCTCGTTAACAGGGTAACCAACTCGATTAGTCTCCAGGATTGTCCCACTGCGCCACCGCCAGCATCATGGAAAAGCTGCCAGCCTGGGACAGGGATTTCATTCACTGGCCTCATGTTTTATATCCTGAAAATGAAAGGTTCGAAGAGATGGTCTCTTCCAGCTTAGAAATTCTAAGATTCTGGTTGGACAGTTGCTTGGGGTGTAGTGGACAAAGGAGACATCGGTGGAGGGAAATTTGCCCCCTCTCTTCTTGCTTTATTTTTTCTGCAGCTAAAGCTGATACCTGGAATGTCAGTGACCTGTGTCTTCTGACCTTAAAACAAACTCTCTCTCTTTCTATTTAATCTCTCTCCTTTTTAATGTCCTTTGTATTCTCTGATTCACAGCCTACTCTGGGTTTTCAAAAACCTTTAAAAGGCTTGAGTCCACCTTGCTTGCAAATTGTTGGGGGAGGGCATGGGAAGAAAGAAGAGAAGAGAACAGTGCTTGTGTCCCGTCCACCCGCACGCAGCAGCATCTGCCCTCGATTTGGACAAAGCCGATGAAAGGGGAAGGGAGTTCTTATTGATCGGAAGGAAACAGAGACGGCAGAGCACAGAAGCCTTTCTTTGGCCAGCCTCCCCATTGCGTTTCCCCCTCCACACCGTCCTCCCAGGGGCTGGACACCCGACACTCCCACCCAGGTTCTCACGACATTGACAGTTTAGCTGGAAACCCCAGTCCCCATCCTGAGGGATTTCTCACTGCCTTCCCACGGACGTCCATCCTGCAGCCCGGGAGGGCCTGTCCGCAAGCAGAGGAAATAAGAGGCCACCAGAGCAGGTGCCAGGTGACACTCCTGCTCCGGGCAGCCCCCAGTGGCCAGGCTCGGCCAGCCAGGCTGTGAAACCAGAGACCAGCCCAGTCCACAGAGACTCTCAGCCACGGTAACTTCATTACTATGCAACTAGGGCGCCTGGCCCTGCCAGGGTGGCTGCAGCCATGTCTGCTCAGGCACTCTGGCTCGTCCTCACCTGGGCCTGGGAAGATGGATGCCCTGGGCTTTTGGTTCTCTCCTTTCTCTCTCCTCTTCTTTCTCAACAATGTCTCTCTCTCTCTCCTCGTTCGCTTCCTCACTTCCCCTTTTCTGCCTTTCTTTTTCTCTATCTTTTCCCTCCCCCTTCCTCTTCCACCCTGCCCTTCTCTCACCTCCCCCCTTCCCGCTCCCCCATGTCTCCCACCTGCCTGCAGTCCTCCCCCGCTCCTCTCTAACTCTCCTATGGTGGAGGACTTACCCAGGAGTGCTCACCGGCTTCCTGACCAGCTGCTGATGCACCAGGCGTCCAGGCAGACACACACCCATGTCAGCAAATCCTCACCATAAACTCTCAGCGATTGTGGCCTAGAGGATGGGAGGAGGTTCAAGACATTTTCTTTACATTTTTCTTCCTTTTTTAGAAAGAGATTTTTTTTTCTTTTTTGGATATCATATGTCAGTTGGATTATTGTCTCTGGATTCTCTCTCTGTCTGAAGCCCTAGTGAGAAATCGGAGAGCTCCCTTGCAAATATCATAGTGAATCTGAAGTGAGGCATTGCAGGCCTGCATGTCACAGGGCTTTAGAAGAAGGAAGTTACCCAGTAGCCTCCGTTCCATCACATGGCCAGGTCCTCTCTAAGACTTTTCCTCTGGCTCAGGTGGGGAGTCCCAGGAAACTTAAAGCCCCAAAGAAGTTCATCTAATGAACTTTTTCACAAGCAAAGCCACTGTGGCCAGGCACGGGTCCCAGTGGCCTCCTCTTCTGACATAAGGACAATGGGGAAGACGTCTCTTCCCACCAGAGTAGGAGAGGGGATGGTCAGTTATCAATATGTACTGGGGCCCAGCGACGCTGCGTGGCAGAAAGAACCATGTCCGCTGCCTCCCAGGCCTGGGCAGCAGGCATGGCCCTGTCGGCAGCCACACAGAATGCTGCTTCTCCACGCAGTCATAGAGAGAAGGCCCTCACGGCAAAGCCCTTGGGGGACCACCACGGCGACTAGAAAGTGCACAGTGTCCATTCTCAACCTTGTTCCTATTCGCAGGCCAGTCCACCGGAGCAGTGAGACTCCCATTCGCTCCACGCCTGCTGTGACCTTGGACTCCACCAGTCATCTGAAGTGGTCTCTGGTGTCTATGGATTTACATGAAAGACTCCTGCTGTTTCAATTTCATAAATACCATGAGATTTCATGAGAAACAGACCATCTTCAGTTCCCACTCGGCTTGGTCATTTTGCAGTAAATACTGTCATTTCATTGAACGTAGCAGTTTCAAAAAAGAGATGGTGTGTTCTTTTTACCGTGGATGGTTTTCACTGTGGATTCTGGGGCCAGGAATGTTAACACTCTTCCCACTTGAAAACTGAAGAATTAGGGGAGGGGAACAGTCTTTATTATAAACACAAGTGGGTCTTATAGATTCCACTGGTTTCAACTGTAGAAATAGAAAGCCGTGTACCTAAAATGTGTATTACTACTCAATTGTAAATGTATGAAGTCTTCTTCTAAACTAAAAACCTACCAAATCTAAAGATCTAAAGTCTAAAAAAAATTTTTTTTAAAAAAAAATCTAAACTAAAAAAATCTACTTAAAATCGTGAAAAAAGTCAATTTTATTCTTACTAAATTCTGGTGTCCAAATCCTATAAGCTGACTCTATGCAGCTTTATTGTTTCCCTGGGATGTGTGAAAGGAAAGGGTATTCTCTTTGGTGTCAGACAGGTGACGGTTAGGATCTCAGCCCCGCATAGTACTTAATCCCTTGGCGCCTCACTCAGAGAGACTGCCACACCTACAAAACAAGGTTGTTGTGAGGATTAAACAAGACAATGACAAATAGTGTCTTGCTCAACACAAGGCCGGCTGCGCCCTGAGTGAGCAATACTTTTACCTTCCCTTCCTCTTTGCCGGTGACACTGGGAGGAAACCTGTGCTGCCAACCTTACCCCAGCAAACCACTAGATGGCACTAAGTTGGAGATCCTTCATCTACCTTCTAAAAACATCCGGGAATCTACCACCATCCCATCCCACGATGTTTACCTAAGTACTGGCGATCTAATCTGTGGGCTCTGCTCTTTCTGGCTTAAGCTCAGCGACTGAGGATAAATTATCTGGACGGACATTCCTCTATTAGCAAGGCGCACACTCCACCTAGACCCGCAGGATACGTGGTACGGAATCTGGTCCATGGCAGAAGAGGGGTAGGAAGAAGAGAAAAGAGAGACGAAGAGAATGAAAGAGAAGCAAAAAAGGAAAGTCAGTGGGAGAGAGAGGGATGTGTGGAGGACAATAAGAGAGACTGGGAGAAGAAGAGAGGGATGAAGTTAATATTTGACTAAAAGGGGAGAGGACTTTATTTTTGTTTTTCATTCTGTGAAGCCAAAAGAGATGCTTCCTTTACTTGGTAAACCAAGAGGCTTGGAGGTCTGTGTCCCCAGCACAGGCGGATGGACTGCCCACCCTATGAATGCCAGAGATACACAGGACCCGGACAGAGTCTGGCACCACACCCAGTTACCTTTCAGCTGTCAAAGATATCGCCTCCTCCCTGAGATGCAGAGGTGAGGTAGAGAACATCGCTTAGGGCAGTGGTTCTCAACCTTCCTGATGCCGCCACCCTTTAATACAGTTCCTCATGTTGTGGTGACCCCCAATTTCATTGTTACAAACTGAACATAATTAAAGCATAGTGATTAATCACAAAAACAACATGTAATTATATATGTGCTTTCCGACGGTCTTAGGCGACCCCTGTGAAAGGGTCGTTTGACCCCCTAAGGCAGGGGTCCTCAAACTTTTTAAACAGGGGGCCAGTTCACTGTCCCTCAGACCGTTGGAGGGCCGGACTATAGTTTAAATAAAAAACTATGAACAAATTCCTATGCACACTGCACATATCTTATTTTGAAGTAAAAAAACAAATGTTTTCGGCGGGCCGCATGTGGCCTGCGGGCTGTAGTTTGAGGACCCCTGCCCTAAGGGGTCGGGACCCACAGGTTGGCGACCCACAGGTTGAGAACCGCTGGCTTAGGATTACGGGAAGGTGTGGGATATGAGGGGAGGTGGCCAGCAGGGTGGTTTTTCACTCTGATAATTCTGAGGGAGAAGCTGTTCATGGCACATGACAACTTTTCAGGCTCAAGGTTAATTCTCCAAGGCAACGAGCTGCCTGTCCCTAGGAGGCAGGCGGAGGCTATGTGATTACCTGTTAGGATGCTGGGAGTGGGGGTGGGGGTCCTGCACTGAGCAAGAGGGTCTCCCAGTTGACCCTTAGAGTCCTTTCTGATATTGCCTTCCTTGTTCCTCACAAACGTGGAAAACAGAACTAGCCGTGGCAGCGAAGCCCGAGGCATGCAAAGCTGCTTTACAGCCACCATTATGCTAAGTAGCCATGTTCCGCAGGAAAATACACGTTCAGCAGGCAGGCAGATAACGCCTTATCTGGTTGATTGGAGCTAATAAAGAAAGCCTACTCCCACTCCTAATCTAATAATTCTTTTAGAAAAAGCCTTTGAAACAAATTTTAGGTCCATGTTTTCACTAGGTCCAACAATAAAATTAATCTTATTTCAGCAGATTTCGAACAATGTCTTGGGAGTTGACTTGGAAACTGAGTTCACATTTTTCATCTCTGAAGAAAACTCTGGAAAATACTTGCTGGTGGCCAACCTCCAAATGGTGATCTGTCATTCAAGCCTATTAGTAAAGATATTCCCCGTGCTGTCTAGACAAGTAGGACCTACTTTATTTTTAGTGTGCAGAAATTCTTCCAGTCTCAAAGTGTTTTCACGACTCCCACGTGTGGTTTCTGGTATTCCAGTAACTCTTGTTTCCTTTCACAGAACCATTTCTCCATTTCTTCCCCCACTTGGGCCTGTGCGCCTGAACGGGGCAAGGGCAGGACACATGAAACTGGGCAAAGCTAATCCCAGTCTCATTCCTCTAGCCCCAAGTATTGACTCCGAGATGGCCGATCACCTGTTTATAACAGGAGACAGAATGAGACCTTTGCTGGGAATTCTGGGTAAGATCCTGGCGGCCTGCGGTTGGCCTGGGTGTTGAGAGATAAGAACTTGGAGTCCCACATCCCCTCCCTGAGGCTGAGAAAGGAGCCACTCTGTAGAAGCTGAGCCAAGGCACTAAGAAAGACTGGCCCTTGGTGAACCACTGAAGCCATATCATTGCCTAGACTCTTCATTGAAGTGAGATAATACCTTTTCCATGTGTTAATCCTGCTGGAGTTGGAGTCACTTGCCAACTTGGATGCTTGGCAAGGCTGGTGTGTCAATCACCGAGACAACCCAGGAGGAAGCTGAGCACAGTGCCCGGCCTGGGGGCCCGCAGGCATTTTCTCATCTCGATTGGCAGTGCCAGCCCAGGAGTCGCTCACTAGGTGTCCCAGGATGCTCAAAGAAAGCCTCCTGCAGGGTCTGAAGGTGGGGGAAGGATGGAGAAAACGAAGAAGAGGAGAGGAGGGAATGAGAATCTCAGGTAGCGAGAGGAAGAATGCACAATGCCTGTGGGGGGCACACTGAGAAGACCAGCCGACAGAATGAGGACTCGTGGAGAGAAAAACAGGAGATGATCCGGCTGGACTGAGGCCTCCCTGACTGCTGGTCTTGGGTGCTGGCTAAAGAGCTTGGACTTTGACCTTTAAGACAGAGGGAGATAGGATGGCCTGGCTTGATCCCACAAGTCAGCATTAACCTGACAAATCCCTGCCTGCAGGCAATGCTGTGGCACCCAGGCCATTCCCCAGGCTCCTGCAGGATGCAGGCCAGCAACAGCCCCGCTGCAGAGCAGGCCCTCTGGCGGGAGGCAGGCAGCAGGGGGCCGGGCCATGCTCTCAGCACCCGGCACTTTGCTCTCCTGTGCGTGACCTCTTCTTTGCGGGGGACGAAATGCCAGCCTCTAAGCTCCAGATGCCTGTTAGCCTTTGTCCCTGAGCAAGACGGATGGAGATTCGCAGTGTTTGCTTTGCTTGGCTTCCTCCGTGTTTATCAGTTTTCTGGGTCTGCTCCCTCACCGCGCCCTCTGACTCACCCTGTGCGATAGGCGGGTGCTCCTTTTCAAGGCTTCAGAAGAAACTTCTTTTTCTTCTACACCCACCTCGTTTTTCAAGAGTGCATTCAACTTAGATCGCTTTACATTGACGTTCTGCGAGGTCAGAAGGCAGTTCCGGGAGAATCTTGCTCTGTAAAGCAGAGAGGAATTGAGCAATTAGTGGTTAATTTCACACACAGATTTTTATGGAAGCGTCAAAGGCAGAACAAAACTAAAGTTTGCTTTTCCTAACTGTTAACGCAGTTTTGTGAGAGAGGCCCTGGCGAGAGGCCTGGAGTTGAGTCTTAGCTCTTGCTCTAGCCCAGCTGTTCTCAACCTGTGGGTCGCGACCCCTTTGGCGGGCGAACGACCCTTTCACACAGGGGTCGCCTAAGACCACCCTGCATATCAGATATTTATATTACGATTCATAACAGTAGCAACATTACACTTATGAAGTAGCAACGAAAATAATTTTATGGTTGGGTCACAACATGAGGAACTGTATTTAAAGGGCCAGAAGGTTGAGAACCACTGCTCTAGCCAATGTGGCCTTGCGCAGGCTCCTTAGTAGTCCTGTCCCCCGAGTTTTCTCCTCCAATAATGAAATGGCTGCAGCTGAGGCCCTCTGGATTGGCTGCCAGCTCCGTAATCCTAAACATCTGTCCTGAGAGCCAAGGGCTGGGTGCCGCCCCGGTGGGTTAGGTGAGGGTGAGGACTGGCTCCGTGTGGAGCTGAGCGCTGGGGGAGCCGTACTCACCCTGGTCCGTGGCTGCCTCCTTAGTAGCCTGAAGAGGACAAACTTTATTCAGTTTTAAAAATATGTTTTTATTGATTTCAGAGAGAGGAAGGGAGAGGGAGAAGGGATAGGAACATGGATGAGAGAGGAACATCGATTGGCTGCCTCCTGCAAGCGCCCTACTGGGGATTGAGCCCAAAACTCAGGCATGTGCCCTGACCAGGAATCCAATCAGCAACCTCTTGGTGCATGGGACGATGCCCAACCAGCTGAACCACACTGGCCAGGCAGGACAAACTTGATTTTCAAGAAGCTCTACATTTTATTCGCCTCTTATTGGACCTGGAGATAAATGGAAGCCCCCTTTACAGATTGCTTTTCATAAGTAAATCAAAGTATAATTTAAGGAGCCCTGTTTGTATGCCAGAGGGGGGCACGAGGCACCATGTTCGAGCAGCTCACGTGCCCACTCTGCTCCTTACCGCTGGGTGACCTTGCAAAGACACTTATCGGATCCTTTTAAACATGTTTAACCAGAGATAATAACACAAACCTGGTGGATCTATTTTGAGGGTTACATAATGTACATAATGCGTTCAGCACATACCTGGCACTTAGCAAGGGATCCATACATGGTAGCTGTGGGGAAAAGTAGTCAAAATGACTAGTCTCACAGGCTTATTTTCTGCAGGATTTGCTCCTCAGTCATGGAACTGGATCTAGATATTTCTAGCTCTCATTGATGGGGGGGAAAAAGAGACATTTTGGGGGGCTAGCAATCTGAATCTAGCCACTGCCCCTTTAATTGTCTGGTCCTGCAAGACTTGTTTATAAACCTTCCCCAGAAGAAGTTATCAGTGCTGGCGCCAGGCCAGGCCTTTGGTTGAAGTCTCAAAGCCCCAGCACATAGGGCTCTTTAAGAACTTGCAAAGGGGACTGGAAAAAACCCTTATTTGGGAGACAAAGAGCTAGAAAAAGTATAAATAGGGAAAGCTTCCTCCATGTTTTTTGCCCAGAAATTTGAAAGACATTTTTCTCTGGACCCGCGTGTAATAATAACAGAGTGTAACTCCATTTCTCTAAGCGTTGCTTGGTTTTTCTCCGGTCTTCTGTACCATCATAACCGCCACCCAACTACCTCCTCAAGGACTTAGCTGGCCTGTGCACCCGCAGGGCCGTGGACCGACCCTCCGTGTGTATCGGGGCCTCTATTGTCTTTACTCCCTGAATTTGCACGATCAAAGGCGGTGCCGCAGGCTCCTGTGTTGCTCACGCAGGCCTTACTCACACAGTCTCTCTGAATATTTGGTATCCCAGTCCATTTCAACCACAGACAGTTTTCTCTCCCACTTACTGACAGTCTCCCCACCCCCACCCCAAAGAAATACAAATTAAAAAGCGTTTTGGTGGAGATGCAACCTGTGCTTTCGCAGACCACACGGTGCCAGGGCTGGTGACTGCCCGGAGGTGGCTCAGCATGTTCTGTGGCTGAGTCCTTTGCTCCCCCAACCCAGCCTGGCAGCAGGCGAATCTGTGCCCCAGTAAAATGACAGCTTTCTCTGTGTCGCATGCCATTGGGATAATTGAAGGAAAGCTGGAAGGGCTCTTGTTTAACCCATGATTGTCAAATCCATAAATGCAAGGCGCTCACATTGCTGGAGGGGTCCTGGAGAGACAGAAGAAAATCAGATAACAGTCCTCTTTCAAAACACAGGAAAAGATGGGTGGTTGGAAATGCTGGGAAGTCCCTGATGCAATCTTGCTCCATTACTCATTAAAACAGTGATGGCGAACCTTTTGAGCTCGGCGTGTCAGCATTTTGAAAAACCCTAACTTAACTCTGGTGCCGTGTCACATATAGAAATTTTTTGATATTTGCAACCATAGTAAAACAAAGACTTATATTTTTGATATTTATTTTATATATTTAAATGCCATTTAACAAAGAAAAATCAACCAAAAAAAAAATGAGTTCATGTGTCACCTCTGACACGCGTGTCATAGGTTTGCCATCACTGCATTAAAATGTAGGAAACAACCCAAAACTAGGCCTGCTAGTCTCACTATTGCCCAACTGGCCAAAATATGCACTAACTATGTGGCCCTTGGAGCTGTGGTATCTGGAACCGCAAATCCACCTGCCAGAAATGAAGCAGGAAGTTACTCCAAGTCAGATCCCTACCCTCTGCTCTCCAGCTCCGAAAATCAGTCTTTACCAACAAGAACGTGGGCAGCCGTCGCTCCATCGCACAGCAATTAGTTTATGAGATGAACAGCAGGAGTGAGGAAAAGCCAGGTAGCCAGAGACCCAGCGGAGCCGCACAGGGAAATGCATATATGCCAGGTGTGAGACACTGGGCAGAACCATGACCATCAGCAGGCATCCGACCACTGGTAAACACACGACCTGGATAGAGCTCTCAAAGTTCAGAGAAATGAGTATGAAAGGTGGGGCCTCTGTAAACACATTGCTGCATCAGAAAAGACAATTTTTTTAAAATTAAAATTCTTGTTTGAAGACAGTAATGAGTAGAATTGAAATGATGGGAAAAATCAAACCCCATCAATTACTGGCTTGACATAGAAAGAGGAAGCTTCAGATGCCCCCCGAGAATGAAGAGAAAAGAGAAAAATGAAATGAGAGGAGGAGCTAAAGGTGACAAATATGGTGATTAGCGTGAAGAAATCTAATTTGGGAATCACAAGGATTGCCAAGGGAGAAAGAAGGATTGATGGAAGTAGAAACAATGACTCAACATAATCAAAGAACAATCTTCTCACATATGTAGGTAAGAAGTTCTTGTTTTGAAAAGGAATCCAAACATCATGGCCAAGTGTTTTGAGTTATAAGAATTGTGAACGGGAAGTTTATGAGTCAGCATGTTGGGGTGGTGAGAACGGCATCAGGCGTTAGACCAGACCTGGGTTCAGCAGCCTCAGAACTTGAGTTCTGGCTGGGAAAGAATTCAGAGCCAAGACCCAAACTGGAAGAGAACATTTGGAAAATCACAGAAGTGGAAGAAGTGATTTGTAGAAGAACTAGGTTTAGGAAACAAGTTGTGGAGGTAAAGGAAGGGCCTTGGAGCTTGGGAGTGGGGATGCTAACAGTGGGGTTATAGAAACACATTTAATTCACCCTAATGATGATTTGAAATAACATTATTTGTCTCTTAAATACTATCCAAACTGTACATACATCCATTACAGGATACAGCTATATATTTTCTCTATACTCTTTAGTGCTCTACACTCTGAGCCCAATGAGAGCCAGCGGAGCCGATAGGATTGTACACTTTTGGCCAATGAGGGTTTGTGCTGCATGGCCCCAGCCAATGAGAGCTCCAGAGAGCTATCACAATTGTCACACAATCACACAATTATTTATGCTCCTGTGACTTCTCTTCCTGCTATTGATTTTGAATTCTGGAAGAAAGTGTAACCTATTATTGACTAGCAAAGGTGCTGAACTTGCAGTAAGAGCCTCTGCGCTTGCTGGTGTTTAATGGTTCCGCACCAAAGAAGCAAAGGAGGGAACCGCGCTGGAAGTTAAAAATGAAAGTGCTATAAGCTTTCAAAGTGCTTTAATGACGAGTCAAGGAAACAGAGGCTAAAGCTCAACGGGCAATTAGTGATTGTGGCACCTTTCTGACATCACGAAGGTCATTGTAAAGAATATTTTAGCCTGGAAGAAAGAACGGACAATTCATAGACTGTACCTGGAATCATGCAATTATTTCAAGGAATTTGAGGAGCAGGGAAGAGCATTTACCACTGTTGAAAATCAGAGATGCAGCTCCTTAAGGGCAGGGCTGTGCTAACCTGACTCAGCGAGAGCTCCCAGGCCCGGGGACTAATCTGTCCCCTGCACTGAGCAATGTCATAGAGTACAAAGTGTTTTGCATTCTCCTTTTAATTTTTAACTTCATATTACATCAGTGTATTCTGGCCATCTCTCCATGTCAGCATATATAAAGCCTATCTCATGCTTTCTAAAGACTCCATAATATCCCTTTGTATTCATTTACTGTAATTTATCTCATCTATTAATGGACATCCGGGTTTCCCCAACTTTCTATACTATGAACAACACTGCAATTGCCAAAAAGCCCTTAGAACAGCGGTTCTCAACCTGTGGATCACAACCCCTTTGGGGGTTGAACGACCCTTTCACAGGGGTCGCCTCAGACAATCGGAAAACACATATATAATTACATATTGTTTTTGTGATTAATCACTATGCTTTAATTATTTTCAATTTGTAACAATGAAAATGCATCCTGCATATCAGATATTTACATTAGGATTCATAACAGTAGCAAAATAACAGTTATGAAGTAGCAACGAAAATAATTTTATGGTTGGGGTCACCACAACATGAGGAAATGTATTAAAGGGTCGCGACATTAGGAAGGTTGAGAACCACTGCCTTAGAAGATGTTACATTAGTTTACACTTCTACCCAACTTTTGATAATGTTTATTTCTCTGTGTCTTCCCCAACATTGGGTATTATCTAGTGTTTTAAATGCTTTTAAATTTAGAAGTGAAAATAATAGAATTGCTTAATTTTCAATTCTTTAACGTTAATAAATTTGAATATCTTTTACTGTTTGAAGGACATTTGCCCTTCAAATTCTATGAGCTTCTGGCTCATGACATTTGTCCATTTTTCTTTGGGGTGTATTTATTACACCGAAAACTTGGAAATAACTAAGTTGTTTCATATATTTCATACAATAAACTATTAGGTAGTCATTACAAATTATATTTCAAAGGGTTTTTAATGATGGAAACATTCATTACATGGTACATGAAACTAAAATGGAATATAAAATTGCATATAATGTGTAATTTTTTCACTATTTTAATAGCCAATAGGGCAATACCTGTTCAAAGTCAGCCTTCAATATAGAAATCCAGAATTCTGGAATTCCTGAGTTGGAAGACACTGGAAGTCTCTAAAGAAGACACCTAAATGATGCCTCTTGACCAGAGATTTCAACCTTTTTCCTCTTATGGCACATAAACTAATGACTGGAATTCTTCGGCACACCAACAAATAGATTATATTTTTTACTGATCTGACAAAAAATATAGGTGCAATCTTGATTCATTCACGCTGGACGGCTATTGTTGTGTTAGCTGCTGTCATTTTTA